AGTAAATCCTATTGTCCTTACTCAATTTAAATGATTGGTTTATGATGGTATTATTTTAATTTTAGGAAAGCTGATATTACAGAAGTTAAGTTCTACGTTATTTACGGTATCTCTCAATTTATCATACTTGATTATTGAGAATTTTCATAATAAATTAAAGATTGAACTTGTATTTTTCTATCCGATATTAAACATACCCGTTCTACAGTCGAGTCCTTTCCAGCCAGCGTGACAGGCACAACCTTGTGGCAAAGGTGGACAAAACAGATTCCCAATGCATGATCCGCCATTGTTACTCTTGCATGGGATTTGACCATCACGTCCAAATCGATTATCACCAGCAGCTTGAAAACAAAAAACACATTATGGTGCAAATAAAACTAAAAACAGTAAACAATAATAATAATAAATAATGATGATGATGATGATGATGATGGTGATAATGATGATGATGATAGTGGACAAAACAGATTCCCAATGCATCCACCTTCGGTTACACTGTTGCACGGGATTTGACAATCGCGTCCAAATCGATTATCACCAGCAGCTGGAAAACGAAATACACATTTATCGTGCAAATACAGTAATACTAAAAACAGTAAACAATTTCATATAAAAAAAGAATGCTACAAAAAACGAACTTGGCTGCTTGGAATATTTTTTTATCTCACTAAGGTAAGAATATAGTATGGGTATAATGATAATAAAAATTGAAAAACAAAAATAATATTAAATAATAATATAATATAATAAAATAATAATAATAATAATAATAATAATAATAATAATAATAATAATAATAATAATAATAATAATAATGATGATGATGATCGTGACGATGATCATGATGATGATAGACAACAATTGAGGGCAGGCAATCACATTTTGCTTAGGAAGCAATCCCATGATACATCCTTTCATCCTTTTAGCACGATCCCATAATCGAGGCAACAACGTATACTCGAAGGTATTCTTCACTAATTCTCCAAATTTCTCCCCCAACAGTCACCATTCATTATTTTGCGATTTTTAAACTGCCATAACAAATAGTTACCTTATCTTGACATTCAATTTTACTACGGTAAAGAACTCAGCATTAGGATATAGCTTAGGCGTTTCTTATTTAAATTTTATTTTGATTGTTTTAGTGATTGTGAATTTGTGATTGCGGATAATTGCCCTCGATGGCTCTTGTAGCATTAAAGTAATTGAATCTTGAAATTCCTCTAACCCAAAATGCATAGTTTGTTAGTGTTCGTTTATGATAGAGATATGGGAGCACACATAGGACCTTGGTGTGGAGTAACGTCCTTAAACCATAATACATGGTTCGGTTAGTACAAGAATATGGGGAGCATTTGGACCTTAGTGGAGCAGGGAGCAGTCATATTACAATGACTGTTCCCTGAGTATAGAGTAAAGCCCTCAATCAGTAATGCAATGTAGTATAGGACGGGGAGTATTAGTGGAGTAATGTTGCTATCCCGGATAGCATATGACAATAGAACCTCTTCTTTCTGACCCCTATTCAGGGAACACCACTATTAAGGGCACATTTTTTCTGTGAACCAAATAGAAATATATATTTTAACACTACTGCCAGCCCCTATTAAGGGGACACTTTCTGAGTTTGCAAAATGTTCAAAATACATTTTAACCCCTATTAAGTGGAAACATTTTTATCATATCATTTCTATTGTATCAACTACAAACACAATTGATTTAAAATAACAATATTTCATTTACATTTATATTTTCAAGTGATAAAAACATTTTTTTTTCTTGATATTGGTATAGGCTAACTGTGTTATTTAGTAGTATATATCATGGGGATATATTGGGTTTTTTTCTGCATACTTTCAGATATGATTTGACTCTTAATCATGGGATTTGTTGTTCTCCTTGTGCAATTTCATATAGGATTCAAATCCTTAACCTGATTTCTAAGTCATTCTGCTTTATCTGTCATAGCACTAGAATCTGGAAAAATATACACCTTTCGTTGTTTTGATACATTTATTTTGATTGGTGGGAATTACAATAAGCTTTGTTTCTCTTTTTCCTATTTCTTCAATTTCTTTTTGTCTTAAAAAATGGCCAAATAAAAGTTTTCTTTTCTATATTTTATTATTCAAACATCAACTTTAATTAAATTACATATAAAAAATAATTGACCTTTCAATGGTTTACAATTTTTACATATTAATTCACAGTCAATTCAAGGGTCTATGCAAAAGGACGTAAGCTGTAGTATTAATACCTCCGTTAAAAGAAGTTTTTTTCTTCTCAGTCTAAATGTTGTAGGCTGTTAACATAACAAAGCAATTTAAATATTGAATTTAATTTTTTAAGTTACAAAGCATTGATACATTTAAACGTAATCATAAAAGTCATGTAGTAGAATTGGAGGCACCCTTAACTAGACAATGTTTACTGAATTATGCTGTATTTGTATATAAGCCTACTCACATTTTACACATCTCTTTCCATAAAATCCCGAAGGACATATACAAGTTCCGATGTATGTATCACATACCCCTCCGTTATAGCACACCTCACAGTCCTTGGTACAATCAGTCGGAGACCATTTGTTATGTGGACATTCTAAAACATATATCAATATTGCTAAACAATAATAATAAAGTGTGAATCACCAGGGGTGAATGAGGGGAGGGGGTTTGTGCAGACGGTGCAAACGAACATCCCTAAATTGTATTCAAGGATAATAATAATTGTTGTATTGATTTGTTGATATGAATTAAAGGTGAGGTTGTAACGTATGAGAGTGCAATTTTCGAGCACCTAGAGGTCCATATTCTCAAAATTGTCAAACCTCAGCCCCAACCATATTTGGGACTGAGGTGGCGTGGACAGCTCACGCACATCCTACTGCCAAATCCTGCATCCGCCCCAGGTCAAATGTTTCAGTGTTGTGTTCGGTAGAATGTCATCGACAAAAGAGGATAAAGTCAATATCTTCAGTTTTCAATATTCTCTAAAATCGTCAAAGACGAAATAAAGGAGTTTTATATAATAAAACAGGCAAATCTAAAACAGACAAAATAATTGAACGCATTAGTTCTAACTAACAAAGTAGGTAGCCGATAGCAAGATGACAAAAATTTATTCGTTCTTAGAGGTGGCCGAGGGTGGGGAATATTACAGAATGAGTATGCATAGTTCTATATCACAGCTCCACCATATTTGGAGCTGATATACAAACTTTATCGTATCTCGTTATGAAACGGCACTCTCGAACTTTTTTTTACATTACTTTCAAAAAGTTAGGCTTCTGATCCATCATTGTCAAGAATTTTTTTTTCTATCTTAATATGTTTATTAGTATAATAATTAAATACACAAATCCGGCCGTGTTATACGGAAATAATTAACATCAGTAATACCTACCTCTTACTATCAGCTGCATAAAGGCGTGTTTTATTCTTTCGTTTTGTTGATTTTGTTTATAACATTCATATATCCCGTCATCATCTGAGGAAATGTTTTCGAATAAAATCACCGCCTTATTGTTCCAATTTTCCATTAGAATTCCGTCCTTTTTCCATCGTAAAGCTCCAGTAGCAGTAGCCTCACGCCGTACGACACCCAATGTAACGTTACCATCGCCTATACTAACGGTCTTGGTGCGAACAATTGGTATTACATCGGCTTAGAACACAAACAAACAGTTTTGTTATCAGGGGCTGTTTCTTTGAATTTAATTTCAGCGTTCTAAAAATTGTTAATGAAGTAGTTTTAGTAAAGATTATATTAGGCGGGAATAAAGCCTTGCGTGTGTTTGCCTGTGTGTATGTTAGGACATACCAAAGAAGCTAAAACCCAAGATACTAAGTGTTGAAGGAACACATAATAAAAGTACCGTATTTATTCTAAACTCTCCGATTTGAATAAATGCTCACCCCACGCAAATAATAAACCCTCTAGAGTCTCATTTGGAATAAACGCCTCCCGCAAATAAACTCCAGGGTGTTTATTTTTTTTATCGAATAAATTCCCCTCTTAATTACTGTAAACAAAACAAATGGAAGCAACATCATTCTAAACACATTCTATTATTTTTCTCTACTCCAGTATAATTGCATTTGTTCTAACCTGGTTCGGATCAATATTATTACGCAACAACACATTTTGACGGTAATAATGTGTTGTTTTACATTCACAGTAGAATTAAGGTGCATTTATTTGAGTGTAAAGCAACATCATTCTTAACACACTCTATCCTATTATTACATTATTTCTAGCCTGTTTAGGATCAATAAATTTTTATGGTTAGGCAATAACACATTTTGACGACAATTATATGTTGTTTCACATTCACAGAGAAATTAAGGGGCATTTTCAGTATACGTATCCAGTTTATACCCCCGAAAAACAAACGCCTATCTCGAATAAACACTCATACAGAAACTCTTCTCATCAATAAGAGCCCCAGGGTATTACGGTAATTGTGATAACATTTTATATACATCTGTATTATATATTATATATATACATATGTATATATATAACTCAAAAGTAAAGACAATAAGATTGACTTGGTAGACTTGAAACACTAAATATATTATTATACTTTGAAAATATCAAATCTTTTTAAAATTAATTCTACAATACATTATTTCTTACAGCATAGGCCTAAATAAAGTATTTTGCTCTGTAATTATTACTTGTTTAAGTATTAAATAATTATATAATAAAAACTACAGTATTGAAAAAACGGAGGTGATTATAACAGCAACAGCAATTACTTCAGGTAATTATGAGGCAGTGTGGCTCTGAGGTTACCACTTTTAGATGCTATTTTTATCCAGCACGTATTGCACTATCAGTCGATGCCCTACATTTGCGCAATACACATGATGAATCAGCTGGCTATTATAAAAGCTTTGATAAACCACTTCTTATTTTTAGTTTCGCTTCTTTAATAGATGCTATTATTCTATAAATTAACACGGCTATACCACTATTTTCATAATGAAATAAAAATGGTATAATTCAAAAGAAGCCAGATAATACAATAAGAAAGGAATTAATGGCGATAATTATATAAAAAATAACGTTTAAGTTTACATAACGTCTTTCTATACTCATATTCCGCATTGTGCGCAATGTCTGTAAGGTTCTATCTATATTAACAATGTAATAACTATCATTATTATCCTCATCATTATGATCTTTATAATTATTATTAATATTATTTTTATCATTATTATTATTATTATTATTTTTGTTATTATCATTATTATTATTATTATTATTATTATTATTATTATTATTATTATTATTATTATTATTATTATTATATTTTAGGATTAAAACGAAGTATATTGATTATGTTAAAACATCAACAAATGTAAACTTACCCATTGCATGGTGGACTATGATTGTGGCTGTTGCATTTCGATTGTTCTTATTAGCGTACACGGTAAACTGACCGACTCGAGCATCATCGGTAGACGTCGATATTTTAGCTTGACGATAAATCGACGATGCGTTTCATCTGCCATTCTTCAAATTGACTTTGCATTGAACGTTATTAACCGGAGTAGAATTAGGGCATAGTGTTTTTTCGGTTACCGACCCATTTTTTAAGAGAGTAGTGCTGAGTGTGATATTTTCTGATTTATCGGGATCCATCGTATAACCACGAATTTTAGCGTTTTCTTGTACAGCAGGAGTTGAGGTAAAGCCTACCATATTCAATTTTGGCTCATTAACATCATATAAACCTATACAAAATAAACAAATGTAGTCAGTAAATGTCATGATGCTGTTATCATTCAACAGAGCATTTAGTTTCTTCCTGAAATATAAATGTGAACTTAATAATATAATAATTATTGTATTTATAAAAAATAAGGCTACTGTCCCAAAACGAAACTCATGTTGTAGAATGTGTTATCCTGTTTACCAGCATTATTTAGAATATACATTGAAATTGAACGAAATTGAATACTGTAATAATAACATAAACAAGAAATAAATAATTCCCATCCTGAATTAATTATTTTTTTTTTAAAATATGTATGATAGAGGAATATAACCCTCTTATAATACACCACTATGAAAATTTCTTTAAAACGCTATATACATTATGAAAGGGAGTTAAATGGTAATTGAGTTAAACATCATTTAGTTGGTATTATAATTACCAACGATTTAAACATGATTTCATTTGCATGTACGTTAAGGTTAAGTTAGATATATATATATATAT